AATAAATTTCATGGAGTAAAGCATCAATGCAACAAACCAGATTGCTTTGATCATCACATGAGAATGATAGGTATTCCATAAAGTATGTAAAACCTTTTGTTCTCATAAAAATCCAAGCTCCTTAAGCGCATTGCATCTGTTGTTATTCTAGTCACACGTGTTATTTCCTGAAGTCGATGGACAGGACTTAAATTGTGACAATTTCTCAAGCACATAAAAGTGCCTACGTGGTACTGTTGATAAGAAATATGTGATACATCCAACAAACAATGGCACTAGTGTAAGCAATCGCTTAACTCCCGCGGCTGAACATACTTTCCTTTTAAGAGAACGATTGAAACAATAAAGAATAATGCAAAACGCCATAGGACGCCTTTGATTCTCTTTCCCACTTCTAGGTCAAATCTATCATTCAAAACTCACGCTTTTTTTTCAAAGGCAATGTTCCAAGAAACTTCCCAGTAAAGAGAATCATTATTTTGTACACGAAAACAAACGCTTAATAAATACAACTGTTAATGTCATGAAACCCCCAGTTTTAATACACGAAGAATGGCAGCTGCCTATCCCCTTGGGAGGGCAGGGCATTGATTAAATAACACCTTGATACTGAATGCCCAGTATGATATCGTCACCTTATAAATCATATACAGTTCTATAGCACGGTAAGGCGACCAGTATACGGGTATTTTCCAACCTCTTGATTGGCTTCATGCGTGGGCAACTTAACTCGACAAGGGCGGAGGACGATTTCTATTATTCTGCTATAGATGCTCGGAGTCCGTTGGCTTGCATTTCTGCGTTGAAAAAATTCTTGCAAACATGGTAAGTTATGGCTTGCTTGAGAAGAGGCATTGGTTTAAGATAAATTTAGGATAATGAGTTGCATCATAATAGTGTGAAGATACGGCAGTGCTTGGTAACATTTGGCCTTTTTATGTTTTTGCAGCATTTCATTTAAAATGTCACGGGTTTGACAGGCATACTCCGTCCAGAAGGAGTTGCATGTAACTATTTTGCTAACACTCGGAGACGGTAGTCCTGCGGAATTTGAGGGTTCGATTTGGGGGGTTCGATTGAAACGCCTTTTTGGTCGGAAAAAGGTTCACTCTGAATCAAAATTGGATTCATAATCTCTGCTATTTTCAGTGATAATTGAGTCATTTATGAGGATAAAGGGATCCACTTTTTTTAGGAAAAGAACCCCCTTTGGAATTGCGGTCTAAAGGCCAGTACACGTATGATTAATTCACAACCTCAAACTAGTTCTAGAGTCTAAAAAGCTATTTTCAGTAGTAATCTTCACTATACTGTGCTGACTAACCCAGTGGCAATATTCTAAATGTTACAATCAATTTATTGCAAGTTAATCTTATAAATTCTAAAATTATTAGATTAGACGAAGTAGTAGAATGATGGACCAGGTGGGTGCATTCATGCAGTCGAACATTCCAGCAAGCAAATTGATCAACCGAATACGTAAGCGCAAAGGTTTTTTTGGACTGTTTAGATGAAAAAAATATTTGTTTAGGGCATCTGTATCTATAAGATAATTATTTGACATATATTTCGATGGGGGGCCAACACTTAGAGTAATGAGTACTCCAGTTTCGACTATTCTGAATCTGTGTAGTAGTACATGTAATAGGCAATTGCAAGAGTACCGTGTATAGTTTTCGTAGAGCAGCCACACACACACACACACACACAGAGAGAGAGAGAGAGAGAGAGAGAGAGAGAGAGAGAGAGATGAGTTTTTGGCCTGTTTTTTTTTCTTGTGTGAATAATAAGTGAACTTAATTGTCCCTGGATTCTGCCAAATATACAGTATGTCACCAAGTCTGCTTAGTAACAAAACTTCCGTGTATGATGATTAACCCTGGTTACTTCCAGGTGCTAATTACCTTCCTACTGGTAAATTAATTTCAGCCCATAGGAATACAGCTAACTTCGTCAATATGCTGCACCCTTAATAAACGAATTTAAGTCGATAATGGAGGAAGGAATTTTAATTTATCTGTTGACAATTGCTCACCGTTACCTATAAATAGGCTCGCTGGTGCATGCTTAAGGCAAAGATATTTCAACGCAGTTTCCACTTGCAGGCAGTTAAGACTGTAAAATAACGGTTAAAAGGTTAGGAAAAAAGATCAACTTAAATTAAGTTAAAAAGAAATCAGCTGTGCAGTACCGCTAGCTCAGGCATTGGAAAATATATTCATACCAGGTGAGCGTTTCCTCATGTATTTGTTCTATATGCTGCCAAAATATGTCTGTAAAATATATATATATATTGTGATTACTAATGTTTGCCAAGACGCCAGAGTCAAAGATTGACTGTTAGTCGGTTTTCAACGGACGTTTTGCAATAAAGACGCTGCGTGCGTACTTCAATCATTTCGATTCTGCACGATGTTCGAGGTGATTTATTGCGCAGCTATTTATGGCATACAACGGCACAAGTAAGCGTAGAACTACTAAAATGTTTTAATTTTGTTTTCCTGTCTAGACATTGTAGTCTATAGTGATGAAAAATCAATGGGAGTCTCACTGGAATTGTTCAGGCAGAGTAATTTTGCACTTCACGTCAATTGTTTTTTTATATTTTCCTGATCAAAATATTCCAAGTTTGGTTATGTGCTGCAGAGACGTATTTTAGAGCCATCCATTCCTTGGAGCCTGCTGGTTCCTGTGCTTTGACAAATAACCTTCTACTTGTCAGTTACGCCATCATAGAATAGTTGATAACAGATAACGAAAAAATAAGTAGCCTAGACCCTTCAAGTTGTTGGTGTTCCTTGTGAGATACTGATATTTGCATTTGTATCTGGGGTCTCTTTCTCTTTAGGCTAACCTAATATACACTTACACATACACAAAAGAGGAAGGGGCTAACACGTAAAAATTGTTGTTTAAACAATTACATGTAACAGGTAATTCTAAGTTTATGAAGTCAGTGGTCTTTCACATTCGTAGTGAAACATAGCTGTAACTGTAACTACAACTTAAACCAATTTTTGTCGGCGGAACGGACTAGACAGCCAAGAGGAGCACGCACACGTGCTTTATGACGCACAGTGGTAAATGTCTATGAAGTAGAACAATCGTGTGAGGAACACGTCAGTGGTTACAGTCACGATGTTTGGATATATGCTGTGAAGAGGAAAATGTCACACTGTACATTGCTCACAAACGTCTCAGTGGGTCGGTAATTCCCTTACAACGTCACGAATCGTTGGCATTAGAAACTCCCCGAAACGTATTTTGCTTTTCATTAATGTCCAATGCAATCTTAATTTTATTCATGATAAGATGCTCTTTCCAAACGGATTTTCCTGTTATTTGTCTTCATCCATGCCCATCTCTTACAATGTATCATTATAAACCTACGTGCTTGATGGAGAGTTTTGGTTAATTTCTAATATAACATGATGGTTATTTGAAAAGCCCAAACTCGCTTAACGGTTGACTGAGTATAGTTAAAGGGCAAAACCGGTCATCTTGTGGCTGGTATATGATTTATATTGGTTTTTAAATTATAGTGGTACATGTATATGTATATAACACAGAATCATGCAATTCTTGGTCATTGTGTGTAATCAATCAAATGGAGTAGGCCGAGTCGACTTAGTAACCTAGTTAGACGCGTCGAGGGTATTGATTGTCCAAAGTACATGTACGATGTATTCTCAGATTTTGTGAACTGTGGTAAAAACTACTGAATAACCATACCTAAATCGAACTAGCAGGGTCGACCCACCTCCAAGGGGATTCTTGCTAAATTGCATTTAGCTTAAGGGGCTTAGATGTCTGGCACACCTACTGAAGCTGTTAAATATCTGCGATAATTACCCCCTAACAGCTTCAGTGGGCGTACCAGCCATCAGAGCCGCTTAAATTGAATGCAATTTAGCGAGACACCCCTCGGAGATGGGTCAGCCCTGCTTGATCAATATAGGTATGAGAACGGGGTCTAATAAATGATAGGCAATTTTTGTTATTCGTAATCTTACTTTTCCTAAACCGGCGGAGAGTCACATGTACAGTGCTCTGCATAAAAAATGGGAACAAGATTTTAGTCTGTTAACTTAAATTTCCTAAGAATCACGTGTGCATCAAGTAATATGAAGATACCCATTGTTGTAAATTTCGAATAGGAGGAATGATTTACACTTACAGTTTCACAAATCGAATCCAAAAATGGGTGGAACCTGCTAGAAAAGGTTTTGGATACTTCTGATACATTGTCTTGCGGCGGTTTCTCAGAGTGTTGTACAAATTTCTTAAATATATATTCTGATAACGAAACTGTTAAATTGCCGTTGGTTTTTAGCCTGTATGTGTGCGTATATATATGTTTGCGTGTGTGAAAAAGGTAGAATGATGACAATGGCGCTTTCACACAGAAACGCAGAATAAACCGAAAACGGGGATTGCTTTGAAAATTCCATTAAACTGAGCGCGAATTGTCATGGTCTTTTGATTCAGACACTATCCGGTCGTCCATATTATCTACAAGTCATTAATTTTCTATCGTCTATAAAGCGCCCGTTCTGCGTGATATGATACAAAACTGGATCCAAAATCAATAAACACAACTGCATTATTTTACCAAAAATGCCGCCATTGTTTTGTGCTGTTTGAAAGACAAACTCATGTCTTTTGTGTATAAGTCCCTGTGAAATATCGTTTCTCCCAAAACAATTGACAATTGATATATACTACATGTATGCAATATTGGCCACAACCATTTCACTTATTTGTCGAAATACAATATTTGAGGAAAAAATATGAATTGTATAAACTAGTGGTATTCCATTTGGGGACATATACTGATACGACATTTTGGTGTGATGTATGCCACATCACAGAAGTTTTGGCTCTCGAAATAATAAAGACTCTACCAAGCCAGAAAGTCATCCTGTGCGTTGAAAATGTCTTTTTGTTTTTAATTTTTTACGATGTCGCCAATTGCATTGTTTTTCGTTTTCTCTTTTTAGAGTGACCCGGATACATCCCTCCGTCTTCGAGTAATGCCGGAACAAAGCAATGACTACCGTGTGGCCGTCTTCGGCGCAGGCGGCGTGGGCAAGAGCTCCTTAGTCCTACGATTCGTACGGGGTACATTCCGGGAGAGTTACATTCCAACTATTGAGGACACATACCGCGAAGTGATCAGTTGCAATAAGCAAGTCTGTACATTACAGATTACAGATACAACGGGCAGCCATCAATTCCCGGCCATGCAGAGACTTAATATTAACAAGGGACACGCTTTTATATTGGTCTTCTCAATAACGAGTAGGCAAAGCCTGGAAGAACTTAAACCGATTTACAACGAAATCAGGGAAATTAAAGGAGATCTTGAAAACGTCCCAATAATGCTAGTTGGCAACAAATGTGATGAGTCTTACAGAGAGCTACCTCAGGCAGAGGGGCAGACTCTCGCTAGGGCCTGGAATTGCCATTACATGGAGACATCTGCCAAAACGAACCACAACGTGAAAGAACTGTTCCAGGAGTTGCTTCAAATGGAGACCAGGCGAGCAATGAGCCTCACGCCGCTCGACACAAAGAAAACAAAATCACAGAAACGAAAGGAAAAACTGAAGGGGAAATGTACGATAATGTGATAAGCGGTTGTGTGATAGCTGTGACTTAGATAATGCAGATTCGAACTGTTTTTGTGAGCTGTGGAGCCACGAAGCGGACAGAGTGCCGTTTCGAACGACCAAACGAAAATGGTGTGAATTTGCATCAATATTTGGTGCTGATAGAAAATGGAACATGTCCCGATTGTCATCAATGATTTTCAGATCGGTCTATACAAAGAAATCCATCCATTTTTAGGCACCACAGACTCTGAGCACCCCTTTTTTTCCTTTTTGTATTATGGTCAGCCACCATCGATCATCGCCGTATAATTTGTAGCATTCCCAGGCTTAGGGTTTTCCTATAACCGAAGGCCTCTTGGCAATAAGTACGTCATGCTCAGTCCTATTTTGTAGCACTCCAATTCAGTTATCGATCGCCGGTTACCCAAAGCTGGTTGGTTTTGTTAACGTTCCCAAGGTCGCTCTTCAAAACCGTGGGCTGCATGCACATGTGCGTTAAGCTGCATACCATCCAACGCTCGTGGGAAAAATTTTAGAGGGAATGAAACACTTATACAATTAGAAGTATAAAATACAGGTTTTTATGTAGTTTTTTTACAACTGTGCACATTTCATACAGCGATCTTTAAATTATTTCCAGTTAGGTTTCCTTTGTAAATCCGTTTCCATATTATTCACAAACCAACGTCGAAATTCTTTTTCATGGTAGGCATATACTCAACTTCATCGTGCCTATTACCAAAGTTGAATATACATAATATGTAGCTTATAATGTAGATACACGTAACATCACTAAGGCAGTTACAGAAAAACATAAAACATGTCTATTTCGAACACACATCTTTTAAATGCAAAGGGCAGAAGTCTAAAACAGCGGTAAAACAAGCTCCTTGAAAATCCCTATAAAAGAGAGGCTAGTATCATTTGTACATATCAATGATTTATAAAAAACTGTTGCTCGTCATATACCGAATCAACGAGATCAAATTTCTCTCTGAATTTAATTGACATTGATGTGACTCGAAGTCTATACATCAAACTCCTACGTGAATCTCTTTATTCGGGGAAAGCCTCGGATTACGAGGGTATCGCAAGCAACGAGCGAGCAAAAACCTCAAATCAATGCGACAGCTTGTCTTACCACGGGCAATGTGAACAAGCTGCAATAAGCTTGATTGTAGTATTTGCTTTGAACATACTCCTTTTGCTTATGGCTATGATAAAACAAAGGAATTTTTGTGTTATTAATGATAAAACAGGTATTTGCGTGTCTGTGTGTGCAGAAAAGGAGGTATATTTACAGGTCGACATTGCTTGAGAAAGCCAATAGATAACTATATACGGTCTATTTTTAAATATTGAAATACGATGTTTTGTTATCTAGACAGTTATAACTAAATGTTGTTCACAGTGTAGACACTGGATTATTAAAAGCGGTTCTTGTTAAATAATTTCACATGTAATCCACTACAAATGTTGGATGTAGGACATTTAATCACAATATCTTGACGTTATTGCTATGGTTTCAACATTAACATTGGATTGCAAAAAGTGCAATTAATCAAGATATTTAATTTGTCGCCAAGTGCAGGTCGCTTGGGCCTTAAAATACAAATAAGCATAATGTTATTGTAAGGAGTAAATGTTAATACATATTATGTGCTGTGTATGTATGTATGTATGTGGAAGTCACAGTCGTCTTTGTAATCTGTCCCACATGATTTAACTCCAAACGTATTACAGCAGAGATAATTGCTACAAAAACTGAAAATGCCATCTAAGAGATGGATGGGTTTAAAGCCGTTTTAAGCTAGGCCAGATTATCTATGCACCGATTCTACTATTATCATATGACTATATTCTAATAGTAACATATTTGATGTATCATTCAATAGCGATTGAGTTATATGCTTGTCTTATATAAAGAAACTGAAATCGCGTGTAACAAAGTTTTTTCCCCGAAAACCCTTAGTTCAAGTGTTACTGTCAGCCTTATTGTCGTGTAAAGATTGTTTTGAAAACTACCAGAAATCAATTAAGTAAAAAAAGAACGATATTATTATTGTCATGTCTTAAATGCCAAACCATTTCCTATTTTCATTGTAGTATGTTTTTAAGCACGAATCTGAAATGCCGTGCATTTTTTCTTTGTTTTGCGTTATCCATGTTGTATTTTTTGTCAAAAATTATCGTACATGGCGAATTTTGTATGTTAAGTACAGAAATAAATTGATATTCGATTTACAAAGCGTCAAGTTTTAGTCATTGTTTAAGTTGTTTTGACTATCACAATTAGCAATATATCATTCTCTTGGAAGTAGCACTTCATTAAAGGGCTCTAATGAGAGATTTGATCTATTATTTCTGACGCAAAATGAAAACAAATTCTGGTGAGGTAATACAATATCTTTAGCCACCATTATTGCATTAACATGTTGTTTCATGAACAAATCGTTACCAGAGATTGATCGGAACGGCCCATTGCGTTGGCTCTCAATAGTTTATCGCCTCTACTGCAATCGTGTCAACCTACCTCGCAAGTTTTTTAAGACGCGCAAATAATGTAAACAAACAGTAGCAAAATCCATTTTTCCTGGAAATTTCAACTCTTCCCATTAATCACCATGGCACATCTTATCCAAAACAGTTCACAGAATTGCGATCAACAACCGGTTCCTTAATTATAGGTTTATAGTTTTTTGAGCCACTTTCGTAGTGAGGATTAAAGACTGATTAATTTTAATCTTGACGGTAAAATTCAGAACATGAGAACTTAAAAAAAATGTCTGTGGAAATTTTATCGGAAAATACCATTATATGTCAATGACAGGAGACGTGGCGGCTGTCTTATCTATCAAGACGTGGAAAAGGAAACTATGGCGATGATGACGACTTCGACGATGGGAGATCATGACAAAAAGGCAGACCTTGTTAAATCTTATTCTTACCACTTTTATTACTGTATATTTCTCATACAAAAATAGTTGGTTTGTGCGTGGGCACGATAAGCATGATTCGCGATACCAATGAGAAATAATCAGAGGAAAATTGGTACCGATGACGTACATAGAATATCCTTTTTGAAGAGCTTGTTTACCTCCAATTAAACACAATTTCCTTTTCGTACAATAATGCTGAAATAATGATGTCTCCACATCTCCATTATGTCACATGAAAGCGTCCTGTTTTGATCTGTTCTCGAGATCATAACAGGATATATCAAGATATTAAAAGCTTTGCGGAACTCTTGACTTTCATCAAGATCATAACAGGAAATAAAACATTAAATTAAACATAACAAGGGCCTAAACGTTAAAAATCAAAATGAACAGAGTATAGAGCAAGCAATGCCAGACATACATGTAGCATACAAAAATACAGACCGGTGTGACAGGAATGGTAGACGGCTAGGATTTGTAGTCTCTTCCCCATTACTTTGTACAGGTGACATTCGTCCAACATACTAACCCCAATATTCCAACGTAAAGATACCTTTACCTGTACTAATCATATGGGACCCTGGACTTACATTCCTACATGTAGGACTACCATTCCTGTGAAACTGGTACATTACAATCAGGTTAAGTTACACCAGTAAATCAAAAAATATTAAAAATAAACAACAACATATAAACAACAAGTGACTAAGCTACACTCACTACAGATGACAACACTTCAGGGAAAAAAAACAAAGCTGGGATATGAATACAGCATTACAATTACTGCAATAACTCATTTGAATAGAAAAAGACACATTGTACAAGACTCATATATGTACTGGTTAGTATTAATTTCAATTTCTGTCAGGTCACTTCAACAACGATGGGCTAGACAGTAAATATATCACAATTTATTCAATGGATAATACTGCCACTGATATTAGGAATCTCAGACACATAAAACCATTAAAAAAAGTCACTGGAATCAGTCTCACAAAATAAGTTTGGACTGCGCTATTGTCTTAACTTTTAGACCAAAAATTTGGCTAAGTAATCTAAATACTCCAGTTAGACTGCTCATGGTTTAAGTTTGCATAGTTCTGAACTCCACTTTTGAGACAAGTCTGATACAAAAATAATATGGTCTACTCTTTAAAAAGCAGTTTGTTATTTGTTATCAACTCTAGCTAGATATAAAATGGCATAGTTACATTACAATAAACACATATAAAATAAAACTTTTTTATCAATGCTAAAGTACATTGACTGTTACAGGTATAGTCTAATTGTAGAGTATCAATAAAGCTAAAGTATAAAAAGGGATTGGTGTTGCTGTAGCTTGCATTCTACCCATTCGATATATATATATACATATATATATATATATATATATATATATATATATATTGTCCATTATACTAAACAGATGTACTGGTTCATATATCACATTTTATCTTAAATCAAAATTGCATAGAAATGCTGGCTAAGGAAAAAAAAATGAAATACCATATATAACATATGCATATCACTTCTCATGCTTTAGATATAAATCTTGTATATCTCTCTGTGCATCTTGCTGTACCACCTGCAAGTCACTTTTAATTTGCTCCCTCAGTGATTTCAACTCTTCAGCAGGGGGCACAGGCTCTGGGGGGACTGGCTTTGTTGCCTTGGCAATAATCTCTGTCACTTCAGGTGGGTTTTCTATGGGATCTCTGGTAACTTCTTTTATAAGTTCTTTGGTTTTTAGAGACACTGCTGTCACTTTTGGCATTTCTTCTTCTGTTAATGAGACAGAGTCCTCTTCGTCTGATTGCATATTGCTTCCATTTTCAAGATGGCTAGAACTGTCGTCTGCTCTATCATTTGCAGCAGGTGACTCCAATCCAGCATCATCCAACATGGAGGCAGCACTATCCATTTCGGGATCCAGGGTAACTTCATCATGAAAATGTTTATGAAAACTATCATCAATGTCACTTTGCATTCCATCATCAAAATCCCTTTCAGTATTTTGCCCACTACCTTCTTCAGATATAGGCTCCTGTATTGTAACATGTAGACCCCTATCACCGAAGTCATCAGAAATTGAGTTAATGTCGGACATCGATCCGCTGTCGCCAGAGGGGATGTTGACATCATATTTATGGTGACTACCCATATCAGATGAGGCAGGAGTGTTGACAGGGGAGAACCCTTCATTCAATAGTCTATAATTCCTGATATGTGCATACTCATCATACTGACTTGTGTGTTCCTTAACAGGGGTGACCCCAGTTTGCAGGCTGCGGAGGGTGGTAGGGTCTGATGGCTTACTACCAGACACATTAATCTGTTGTGTAATTTGAATATATTCTGGGTCACCTCTCTGACCATGGGAACTGATACTCGCTCCGGCTGCTGCTCCTGATTTGTGCAAGGGCTGCCCAGGGCGAGGTCTGATGGACTGAGGTGTCCTTACCCGGCTGTTACTTGCAGGAGTGGACAGTCGAGATTTAGCCCTAGTTTCAGCTCTCTTCTCAGCAGCTGGGGTGAATATCCTGAGATTTGGATCTGGCGGTCCACTGAATGCAGACATGGCTGTGCTGGGTCGTATTGCACGTGCATCACTCCACGATGAATCTGCCATGCTAAGTTTGCTTGGGCTTCGGAAATCTCGCCCATAGGGGCTTGGGCTTCTATTTCCATGAGTAGGACTAGGGCTTCTCCCTGCAGTTCTGTAATTAGGGGGACTTGGACTCCTGCCTGCACCTCTACGACTCTGTGGACTTCCATTTCTAGCTCCATGTGATTTTGGAGAGTGCTCTCCATCGTCCTGCCTTTCTCCATCCTCTTCTCCACCTTCATCTGATTCTGCACCATTATTTCTTGACTCCAAATGAATTTGAAAAGGCAAGTTCCTAGGTGTTCTAGGTGATCTTTGAGTTTTAATCTTTATGATGTCATCTAACACAAGACCCTTGATCCGTTCCTCCTCCTCCTTCTTTCTACTGTCTATTGCAATGTCTGTGATGTTCTCTCTCTCTGCACCATCCATGCCTGTTCTGCTCTTGCTGCGACGCTGCACTTGGAATCCATGTTTTCTTACAACTGGTGGTTTCCGCAGTGGTTCATCAGACAGCAACTTTTGGAACACGACTGGATGGTTTTCACACAGGCTCTGAAATAGTCAGTAAAAAAATTTTTTTGAATCTATCTGTGATCCAGCATAATTTTGGGTGTATTTTTGTTTCTTTTTTGAGCATATCATCTTATGTCACGATTAACAATGAAAAACCTACTAATTATAAGATGAGTACTGAATCAAACATTTTAAAAAATCCTATTTATAAATGCTAAACATATTCACAGGTACAATTTTTCTGACATTCACAACATGTTTTAACCTCTAGAAAAATAATAAGTAAGACACATATTACACCTAATATCAAAATATGTGACCATTTACAATAAAACAGTACTCACAGGTTTTGGTCCCTCATTCTTAGGTTTCCTGGGCTCAATGACCTTGGTCCCTGGGTACTGTATCTGACCATCCCAGGACAGAGGGGGTGGACCAAGCTGCTGTGTGGTGACCAGGGCATCTTGAGCTTCAGCCATAAGATTTCTAAATGATTCAAATGTGTTTCTCATTAGGGCAGGACACCTTACAGTATAGTGATGTTATATAACCATTCAATTTGTCTAAGAGATACTGCTGCAAGAAATACATTTTAAACTTAAACTTTACTTATAATTATTTTCTTAAATTCACCATTATTTCATCATGAAATCTATTCTTAATATAGTATCGATATCTTTTTGTTTAAATCACCAAACAATGGAAAAAAACAGAATTTAAAATAATAATAATAATAAATGCACAATTACTTTTTCTCATCCATTTGTACTTTATTTTTGGAAATCTTTAAGTTGTAGGAGAGTATTTCTCCATTCCTTCCAACTCTTATTTTCTCCCCTTTCTTGAGCTGCATTGCCACCCTGTTGCCTGTGTCTCCCTCTATATTGTAGTAATCGTCTTTTTTCTTCATAGCTAAAAAGAAATAAAAGACACAATAATCCATTTCTTATACAACTCCATGTACTAAGAATATGTACTACTAGTATAAAGTTTACATAATGCATATTTGTGTGCATTTTCAAAAACATATTTAATAAACATAAATTAATCATAGTGATGATTGTTTAACCCCACCCACCCAAGCTTCTAAACTCAAAATTTTTTAATAAAGGTAAATGAAGATTTTTAAAATGACTGTCACCTAAAATATAAATGACTTTTAATTCAAAAGTTTAATACAAAAATTTCATCTTCAAATTTCATTTCTAGTGGTAGGTAATCATGGCTGTGTAGGGGGTGGGGGGGGGGGAGGGTAGAGTGTTGCTTGTATATAGCCGCATATCAAAATATGCCTGTCTCACCTGTAAATGCGTCTACCACACCAGAGGACGTGACATCATCTGTAGCTCCTCCCCCAAATGTCAGCCACTGGGATGGTGGTTCTAAACGTGCACTAGCATCACCACGTGCGTATACCCCACCTGCCAAACTATGCTTCTCAGGTAAAAACTGTTCATGAATCTGGCTGGTTTTCTTCTTGTAGCTTTTTGTTTTTTCTAAAAGTTCTGGGTCAACTTTTATTGTCATATAAGGCTCAGATAAACTTTTTTGTTTGTGGGAATGCAACCCTGAAATAATGATTAATTTTTTCCTTAAATTTTCATTCAGTGAAAATAGGTCAAGGTTTCAAAAAGTTAATTCAGTAATAATATCAAAATGTATTACTAAGAAATCTATCAAATAAAAAATGTTTTTACTAGTATTATTACTGATTAGTTTTTAGTTAGAATTAGAAAATTATATACGAACATCTAATCAACTGGGTTCAAATTTGCTTATTCACATTCCTTTGATATTATACTTCATCTCTTATCTTATTTCCTTTGATATACCCTTTTTATAAAACAGATGCGTGATTATCACTACTGGCAATTGAGTAAACATTTGAGGGCCCTTAATAATGGTAAATAAATGTTAGATTTGTTGGATGTACAATACTATTCCTGATTTAGAAGTGGAACTACAAAATACTAGCACTCTTCTCAATTGCAATCAACATATAATATAAATATCACGTGTGAAAGCTCCACCTCTTTACATGACCAAACAATACAGGTATTTCAGCTGTAAGTAATAAGGTGCTTAGGGACAATAAGGTTCTGAAATGGTTTTCAATAACAAACCATTAAAAAACACTGTTGTTCTCAAATCAGATATACATGTACATTTGATTATGTAAAGTAGCAAGCAATTCATGATGGACACTTGGGGTGTGATTGAGAGTATAAACATTTCTTTATGTAATAATATTCTTGCATAAATTTCACAATCGTCTACTCTTATCTAAAATTAACCATAAGATATAAGATAGTCAAGTCCAGTGCTTTTTAACTTCCAACCATGCAAACTAAGAAACTTGACTGATTTCACTCTATGACACATGATTCTTTCTGCACAAAATCATGTGTACATTTATGGATAGTTTTTAAAAAAATCATTTTGAAGTTTTCTAGAAAAATCAAATATTGACACATACATGTACTAGCATTTCAAGTTTAATAACAAATTTTTATTTGAATTACAACTGTCACACTGGTATCTACATATATCTCTCTGAGTTACACCTAACTTCATTTTTTATTTGGAATCTCATTAATCAAAATGTCAGTTTTTGAAGACCTTTTTTAATAAATAAAAGATTAAAATCTTGAAACTCACAACCAACCCTTTCTCTTCCTAAGTTCCAAGATTTTAATTGCCAAAATATTGTAGTCTCTGCTAATCTGACATGAAAAAGATGCTCTTGTCTTTTCTCAACATGACTATGAAAAAGCACTGGGGAAATAAAATTATTTCTTGATACTAGTATGTTCTTCTTACCTGTGGTGTGCGGCCTCTTTGCTCCTAACCCAGATTTCAGCTTCTGCGATTTATCTGGCGATGAAGCAGGGCGGAGTGCAGGGCCTGTAAACAACAGGTTCAAAGCCATCTATACTGAATAACAATCAGTTCAAACTTAATTAACACTTGTTATCCAGAGTTTCACAACATCTGGTCTGTCATATATACTGTGGCGGTTCTAGTTGCACAGGTTATATACAACAAACTTACTTATTGAAAGTAAACCACAGAACTATTGTATGGAAGAAAAGAAGTGTTGGGGAAACCGTGAAAAGAGTTCAGATGTTATGAGAGTCCGAACAATGGGATTTATTGTGGAGGTTTGCTACTGTTCTGATGAATGCACACAAAAGTTTCAAACAAACTGTAGCGGTTTTGTAATGCCTGTCCCCACAAGAAAACCAGAAATTATCCGAATTCTTTGAAGCAAATAATGCAAAGTAGAATTAAAATCTTTATCATCAAAACAAATATCATACAAAGGTACAATAGATAAACACATGTATACATAAACAATTCTACTAATCCAACCTTTTCTTTTCTTGAGTTTAAGGGGTCAAACTTTACAACTATCAAAACATAATAATTAAAAAAATTACAATCATATATGCTATCAGGATAAATCACTCCTGAAGCAATCCCTTGTAAAATTGTAATTTTCTCTATTTACCAAATTCAAAATAAAGATATATTCTATCTGAACTTAGGTGCAGATGAAAATCAAATATATTCAAGTAAGTGAAAGCCGCTGCGCTTTTCTCTCAACTTTGGAACAAATTGACTAATAAATGATGAGCAATAATATTTCACAAGCTATGCATTTCATTTACTAAATAAAACGTTTTAAAAAGCCATTAGAAATGTTGGCAGAATTTGGGGGTGGACTCCAGATGAAAATTTCAACTATATTTGTTAAGAGCCTTAAACCAGCAAACAAATTAATGTTCTCCAGTAAACATTTACCAGGTGTGCAAAATGTTACTTACTATAAGAAACCGATTAAATTCATCTGTTTTTAACAAGCTTCTGAACCATGGAAAACATGTTAAGAACTGATTTCTTATTAATACTTAAGGAATCGAGTTACTTGCCGACACAGCAAAAACAAATACTTCACCAACATAAAAACAACACATTCCAAGTGAAATGTCACTTTTTGTGCTGATTTAAAAAAAAAAGAAAGAAATAGTTAGACCAGCAACTAGAAACAGCAAACCTCTAAAAATGCTTCTCAGTTTCAAAAAAGAAGCTTCTAAGCTACTTGCATAATTCTCCTTACCTTTGTTAATAAACAATCATTCAAATTCACCAACGAAACTGGCAGTATTTCACACAACATCTACAACAGTTTTACTGTGGTCTCCTTCCGAAAATGATTTAAGAGCACATGAGAAACAAATCATACTGTACTTCTGCTGGACATATCCATATATACAAGAAATCTAAGTAATTTGAGATACTTAAACACGACCGTTGTCATAACCTTCCTTTATTACATACATGACATACTGCTTATGGACCTTTATTCATAAACACACTATCTGAACAGTTGACTTATATTAAAAACAAATAATCAAACATAGCAAGCGTGCGGTTTTGACCATCCATTATAACCCAAAGTTACTGGCAGCGTTTTCGGACACTGAGTTTCTTTTCATTAAAACAAATCTTCAGAGGAAATATCATATTTCTCAATCATATAAAGAATCATGCTTGGATAATATTCTATTTAAAGTAAACATAACATTAAGCAACTGAATAGAGAAGGTCAAAAGAGGTAGCAACAATGGTGGATAGGACCAAGCATCACTTAAATTGTTCAATTTTCACGTAGCTAAACAGCTGTTTTAAAACAGAAAAGAAACCAAGAAATATCAATTACTGCACTGATAATTACGACCATATCAATTTGTGACAAAGTTCTGAAAAGAGAAAATTCATTTTAACATCAAAGTATTGGTCGTATTCTTATGTGGTCATTCTATATTCAACTACATGTACAGGTCAAATATGCCCTCCAGCAATATTTATGTTGCCCAAAGCAATGACCACCACTTGTAAATTAAACAAGCATGATTTTCAATCATTAGAAAAACAACATAACTGTAGACTTGAAGAGCACATCAAAACTATGAATAAAATGTAAATAAGACTGAATTTATATCTTACAGTAAGTACTATTCAAAATATCATTTTCAGTGCACCTTTATACTGTATATTGAAAGTTTATACCTGTAGAAGATCCTAGCAACTTCAGTCTACTGTTATTATGTTAAGTCTTTAAGATCACAGCAGCAAATCTTCACAGTTACAGAAAAGTTATTTAATTGATCTTTAAAAAAGTTATATAAATTGCTGTAAATGATCATGACTCATGGTGTAAAAATCTTTTTAGTCTCTTTAAAAATGATTTACTTATTTGTCACCACTATATCTCTTCACTACTTACCTAATTTTAACTTTCACCCTGACCAAACCAAAAATTCAATTAAGTTGTAAAACTCTTTTCATTCCCTTAATTTTTTATTTTACTTTTTGGATCATTTATAAAAAAGGAGTTTACCTGTTCCAGATATATGTAAATTTGCACTGCCCCCTTCTTCTTCATGAAATTCTCCCTGCCTCGAATTTCGATGTTTTCCTGGTGGAGCAGAAGCTGCAGATCTGCATGAAAAAAAAAAGGAAAACCATAAGTCTTACATAAAAAAGTCTTTCATTATTTTCCTATTAAAGTACAACATAAAACAAAGTTAACAACTAGTTTTTTTGCTTAAACAATTAAAATAAGTCTCTTCATCCCAATTAAAACTTAACACCAACACACTGCCAAAAAATACTTAACATTTCTACAATTTCTGCAAATGGTCGTACCACAACACAAACAGTAACCCCAGTAACTTACTTCTCCACAAAAACCTTCAGCCAAAGGCCAACAAAGGTGTAATGTCAAAAATATAAAACTCATTCTAATATAAACTTACAAATCAAGCAAACATTTTTAACACTTCCCAAAATATGCAAATAATCCATATAAATCAACGCTTTTGTGAACATGTAAGGACAAAGCAAAGTGCACAAAATGAAGAGGTAAACATTATTTTTAAAGCCATTGTTCAGAAATGTTTGCTTAACAAACTGATATTATAATGGTTCAAGCAACAGTTTTACAATCAATTTCAAAACCAGAGCATGCACCATGCAAACATAAAATGTATTGGCAAACATTTGAACTCTATGATATTTTCAAATTCACCACCTGACTCTGTATTGACGGTCCAGAAGCCGACTGATAAAACAATGGAATTGTTAAAAAACCTAAAAATTTTGGTTCAAGTTTTGGGTTTTTAAGACAAAGATAAATAGGGAGTGGGAGGTGTAAGGCACTGTTTTTACTAAGAATCTTCACAGTTGCTTTGAAATTCTTAAAACAGCCAAACTTTACTGAAACCCGACCCTCAAATGGTGAGAGACTCTAAACCACTTTATCATCTGTAAAAACTTTCTTTTTAAATGACAGGTGTATACAACATCTCTGCTAAAATTTATCTCTTTGGGTGCATTCAGATTCACATATCACACCAGCTGGATTGGACCAACTCTACAGGGGATTCTTCATAAAGTGCAATCAGTGGAATCAGCTTAATCAGCACACAGTAGTTATTTACCTCCAGCTGCTCGAAGACTGTTAGACAATTAAGCAGATTCCACTGATTGCACTTTAGCAAAAATACCCTGCAAAGTTGGGACAACCAAGCTAGTACACTGAATGTGGCCTTTGTTTCTGAAACTTAAGGATTAGTACTGTAAAACAAAGGGTTTGCTTTTGATTGTACTGGATGTTCCCCAGTGCTGGCATTTCTTGTGCGTGTACAGAAACAGTAAATGCATTAGTTGTGATTGAACACAATGCACTGTGCCAAGGTGTTCTTTGTAACATGGAAATGTGTTGTATTTTATAAAAGTATACAATCAGGGCGTCTGTGATAAAAATTATATGAAGGACTGTGCATTTTGAAATTTTGGCATACGTACAATACTGGTATATCTTTTCAGCATGATGTTTCAAAAACAAAGACTATTTCAGTGATATTATTCTGACAATTGTTTCTAACAAAACTACATGCATTTATTAAAACACAGGAATATCTAGTATTTTATCAATTTCAATTCTAATAAATTTAAAACAACACTTCACAGCTTCATAGAAATATGTTGTATTTTCAGGTAAATATTTCAATTATCTGAATTTTCAACTTTCTTATGTTATTATACAATAGCTGCTGTAATAATTGTTGTTGAAATATGTTGATTTCAAGATATTTGTATACTATGATAATTTCTTTAATGGGAAATCTTTTTACCTTTTGTATGCATTATGTATCAGTTTTTCTTGTTCATCCAGTATCTCCAGTGTAGACCTAGGCCTGTAGGTATCGTAAGTACGTGAACCAGCCACATCCAGTTCTACAGTATCATATGACAGCACAGGCTGAAGGGGACTTATCTTGTATTTGCTCTCCAAATCACCCAAAGGTCTTTTCTGAAACCGAATATTACACTGATACAAAGCACTTAATGTAACACTTTGTCAAAACAACTTACCAGTATTATAATGATTATTTTAAAAACTCAGCTATTCTTAACTTCAAAGCACAAAAATATATCATTTTTTTAAACTTTAAATTATGAAAAAATTACAGAAAACATTCTCATTTATAAGAAGTTGAGTAACATTTTCCTCAGGGACTGTTGGTTCTATATTTCTAAAATTCATATTATCCATGTTTAATTCCTCAGTTCCCTTCTCCATTAATCAGTGATCCAACTTTGACTAGTAAATACATCATAATACAGTTCAAATGAGAAGCACACTTACTTTGTGATATTTTCTGAAGACTCTCCTGGCATGGTCATCAGACCCCTCTATCATGGCAATATGTCTCTGGGCCATGTCTGGTTAGTTATTGGTTAAAAGACCTAAAATATATACATAACAAAAAACAACTCCTGATAAAATTTCCCATGAAATTTTCACATTAAAAAAATTTTTTTATCACAGCTGAAAAAAATTATATGTGTGACTATGTTGTTTACTTAAATTATATGCAAAGTACACGGATCATTTATGCTTTCACAAAATTTTTGTTTTCTACAAAATACAAATGTAAACTTTGACTTACCTTTGATATGGTAAAAACATTAACAGTTGGAAAGAATTTCTCTTTAGGATGCATGTTTAGACATCCTAGAAAGTTGCTTTGGCTTGCATACCCTGTAGGAGAAATGGAAAAAAGTGTCACTTTTTTCTACTAAATAAATAACCAAAAGATACATGTATGATGTATGTATAGTCAGTCGGGGTATCACTGCTTTTAGCTTATTTTTTCTTATGAATGTTAACATATATCTCATTTTCTTATATGCACTAGACAATTGCATTCTAATTGGATAAATATATTAAAAGAAAAATTCTACAGTAAAAAATTACGACTTCTTCAGACCAGCAAGTAGGAAGTGAAATTTCACTCAAGACTTGCTATATGTGACTGAAATGTCTCACAGTCCTGAGATTTAATTATCCCAAAAACTAGACCAGTCCTTTTGTTGTATTTATGTTTGTTGTTTTGACACTGTTTACACGGAAAACAAGTATTGCCTTGTTGTATTTACAAAGGTAGTGCCTGTTTACATAGTCTACCTTTTATACTATACTTTATCATTGGTTTATATTCGCTTGTGATCAGAACTGCTTCTCTCCCATGCCTTTGTACTACAGTTATCAATATTAAGCCCATTCCACAATATTTCTCCTCCTTAACATTTTCTTGTTTCCAGAGCAAACCTATCGGGTATTTCACCCATTCACATCCTAAGAAAGGGAAAAATGACATTGCCCTTTTTATCAAAAAGTCTATTAAACAACAATGTTGGTGAGAAAAGATATGCCTGGGCAGAATTATTTGGGAAGGATACTTGAGGAGAATGGAGAAAATGCTCTAAATGCACTAAACACCCTTCTCCTGAGGAATTATGAATTTGCTGAAGCTAAACCCATATATTATATGAATAAAGGAAATGTTCTTTAATACTCATCAATTCTGTTGCATACATGTAATTCAGCACACAGTCAGATAATAATATATTTCTAAGAACATTCTTATTTCATAATTCAAACTTTAAACACCACAAGCTTGGATTTCAAACTCTGCAGGCCCGTAGCCAGAAATTTCAAAAGGGGGGTTATTTTTCTGAAAAAGTGGACCTTTTAACATGAAACTTTCATGTACCTTAATTAAATTTCACCCAGAGGGGACCTTTTCCCTGCATAAAGGGGGGTTCTTTTGAACCCCCCGAATCCCCCCCTGGCTACGGGCCTGCTCTGCCAGTAATTCTTGAAAAGTAATGTTTAATACACTTTTCCAAATATGAAGGTACTGCCCAGTTGACTATGTGCTCACTGTGGTGTCCTTAATTTTTTTGCTGTTTTTATGCATGTATAAAAAATTGAAATTAAATTATGATAATCTGACAAAAGTCCATTTAAATATGCATTTTAAGTTGAATTTTTGTGACAAAACCCGTCTTAATGCCACCACATAGTTTGAAATAATACAACTTATAATACAAATACCAAAGGACATCATTTCATATTTGCAGAAAAATGGAAATCCACATTTGCTTCACATGTAACTTTAAAATATACTGTTTCTATTGCCAAGGCTAAGTACTATTGGCCTTCTGTAATTATGTATTTAAAGTTACATGTAACTGTTCAGCTTACTAATGCCAAATAATTATTCTTTACATTATTGATTGAAAAGTGACATCCTGTACTCACATCCATTTACACATGAAACTCATCATTGAATCCAATCAAAATATTTGTGCTTTAGGCAAACTCTCAAGAGATCCAAATGTGTTCAGCTTTTGTGTGTGGCCACACAGACCTGAAGCATGTAAACCCACCATATTTCCTGTCACCATGCTTGAGAAACATAAACATTGTGAAAACATGGCAAAAATTGATTTTTTAAAATTACGGATCAATAAATTATATGTTACAAAAAGTGCACAAAGAGATAAAAGCCAATACCATATAAGTAAACAAGCCACTGTTTATTCAAAAAAGTTTTTAGTCATTATTCTAGTAATCATCTGTAATGGTGAAGAGTTAACTGTCATTCATCATTGCTACATTTTGCCACTACCCTACTGCTCATATAGGTACTGTACTGTACGATGACAACTAACACTCTGTGGCACATCACTAAGTATGCCATCAACTTCTGTTAATGCGTATCCTTCTTTGTACTTTCACTTGAGAATTATTAATAACGTAATATGTACGCACGTTACGCACTACACGTGGTAATCAGTTTTACTGTACTGCTAGTGCTAGCCGAGTGCTAGCTAGTAATATCATTAAGAGTGAGGAAGATACTGACACAGTGCGTATTATGTTTCTGCGTGAACTATACATTATCTTCTCACAAGTAAAGTACCGATCTATTATTCAGTAATGGGTATTCACACATTACTCCACTCTATATGTCAGTTCAAGCTTTAGAACCCATTTATCATAACATTATTTTGATAGATTACTCGAGTTTAAGTCAGCGCACGTACGTTGCTTTCATTTAGTAACACTTCATAGAGTACATTAAATTTAAAACCTGGGACTTTTCACATTTCAAAATTTCACTTACTTTCAATTAGGACTGGTGTTTAACTCCGTTGACATATTTATCGTAAAGAAACTAGATAATTAAAAGACAGCAGCAGTGCTCCATTTAATGCGGTTGGTAACAACAGCCTCGTTTTGAAAATTGAACGACATCCAGTACCCACCAACGAGCAAGCCAAAAATAGAATTTTGACACATATTTGTAAGTTGTAGATGGAGGAAGAGTTTTCCCGGGGGAAACGAGCAATTTTAAGGTCAAAGGTAACTTAATGTGCTAGTGAAACAGATTGCTATTAAGCCTGCAGTGGCGGAAGTATCTTCCTTGCCAAGTCGCTTCCCGTCAACGGCAGAAATATGGCATCGAACATCATGTGCTTTGTGTTTTGTTTTCAGAGAAGGCTTGGAAGATGGCCACCCCTGGGCCAGAGGGGGCCGATGTAGGTGATCCATCTTCAACAGACAGCGTTGTTACCAGCGCAGAAAACGGCCACGCACAGAGCAAAGAAAATCTGCAAGGTCCATACTGGAAAGTGAGGTTAAAACCAGTGAAACATACAAAGATCAAAGTAGAGGGTGATAGCTGTGGTAACGTGGTTTCGACAGGAAGCAGTAAGGAAGATACACTGGACATGGAAGGCAGCCAGAGACCCCGGCGTTATTCTGACGGAGATCGTGCTGGTGCTCGTGATCAAACGCACACAGAAGGAGACGGGGAGCACCAGGAGCATATGGAGAGGTGCGTATCTATATGACCTAAATAAACCATGTTTTGGCGGGAATGATATTATTAGAATGCTGATGTCACCTTGTAGATAAAGTTTCTGTATCACCAGTATCAGTCAGTGTTTGAGCTACAATCCATATCAGATTATATTGAAAATGTAAGTATGTAAATAAGCAAACCTTATGCATTTCATCAGTGGCAAGTACAACAAACCTGTTTATTAATAAATTTATATATTTTATTATACTTTTAAATCAGAATTGTTTCAACTTAGTTAAGACTTTTATAAACTAAGAATGCATTCTAATTAAATTTTATTAAATTTAAAATTTAAAATCTGTTTAAGATGTGTGAATACAATAAAAATGTCTGCCCCTCACCTGTAATTCTGAAGCGTTTACTTACGAATAAGGATTTTATTGCCCTCTGGCAATTGCCAGTAAAACTCCTCACCCTGGATGATCAGATAAAGCAGCAGCATTGTTTTCTAAGCCTTATTAATGCAGTCTCATGTTCTGGTATTGTTCATTCTGTACCTTTTGCCTCCCTCTGGCATGTAATTTTAAAACTTNATAATTCTGAAGCGTTTACTTACAAATAAGGATTTTATTGCCCTCTGGCAATTGCCAGTAAAACTCCTCACCCTGGATGATCAGATAAAGCAGCAGTATTGTTTTCTAAGCCTTATTAATGCAGTCTCATGTTCTGGTATTGTTCATTCTGTACCTTTTGCCTCCCTCTGGCATGTAATTTTAAAACTTTTTTACATGTAATTTTGTTCCAAGTTCTGGTGCCAAAACTGACAGTTATTTGATTGATTGTAAACAAACTTCAACTATGGTATGGTTGAAGGTTCACCCATCTTTTCTGTAATACTGTTGTTGATTCAAGCAAGCAACAGAGTGACATATTCATATCTAGTCTTATAGATTGTCATTTACCCAATGCAATTTCCCCAATCTTGGCGATAGTTAGGTTCAGACAAATGTGATAATCAATATTTATGCAATTTCATAGATCTGCAGGATTTACTGTCAGTTAGCTACTCAGTTTTGGTGAAAGTTAAGAAGTATAAAACAAGTTAATCTTTGCAAACAACGGTACAGGAGGTTGCATTTTAATAATTGACCCTTGTGTCACATTTTGGTATCCATTATGTCTTTCTGAGATTGAGAATTGATGTTGTGATACTGGTAACACTTTGTCTCGTATGTGTCATGTGTAAAGTGAGTCCAATGAAGAGGTAGTATGGGTGAAGAGATTGGATTAAATTTGTCAAATTGTCAAGTATTTTTATGTTTGAACAGTTAAAAAACTATGAGTTTAAATGTGCTTGGACAATTGAAGAAATATTGCCTATAAAGAGCACTATACATAGCTATAGGGCACTCAAAAATGAAATGTTACTCATCTTCTCTCCTTCCAAAATGATGGTGACTGTGTTGCATTGACTTGTTGAGATATAACAGTTAACATTCATCAAATTATTGAGACGTTGACACAATTTTACTTCATACTTTTGGCAGTGTATTTTTCCATCTCTTTCTTCAGTTAGTAAGAGTGCATCTGAGCCAGCAAACAACACATGTTACCAACTTCGTGCATTAACAAAATATAAACTTGCCCGTCAAAAATTGATGGCCACATTTCTCAAAGGATTGAACTAATTGCATTCCAGTATTGATGGACTGTGGGTTAGATCTGATTTTAAAGCTCTCGGGCTTAAAGGCAACGATGTCCATGATATCTCAGAGGACAGAAAGATCCACCACAAAAAAATGACCCTTAAAGCAGTGAATTTAACTGCATACATGTGAGTGGCCCATCTTAATTTGGTGTTGTGCCCAGGATTGTGTATACTGAGTTATACTGTAATGTCTGTATATTCTAAGCAAAAGCACAGTGAAATAGGGAGAGGTGATAGACTTAAGTTGATGCTGTTTTTACTTGTGGGATTTGGCTTTGGTGCCTTAAAAAAAAGATCAATGCCATTTTCTAGCTGTAGATTTGGATTATATTTATCTTGAAGAACGCATCTGCAGGATTAGAAATTCAAGCTTTTTTTCATTAACCTTATCTGACCAGGCATCTATAAAGTTCTATATGGACATGGTGACAAGCTACTAGAATTTGATAGGTTTCCAGGCAGGGTATTTGTATGCCCCTTACTACTACTGTAGGATAAAATTATGCCCTTGCAGTAATATGTACAAGTACCCTTGGAGTTAAAGATATTTATGTAACACCAGTGCCATGGGAAAGAAACCAACACTAAAAAACACACATCCTGTTCCTGATAGGAAAAATTCACTTTAGTTCTAACCATAGAAAATAAAACCTTGATTATGACCCATATGTTTACACAGTGGGCTGTTTAAAATTCTGTCCACTGTTCAAGTACATGTGTATTGTGTCCATGGTGCAATACAAGTGATCATTTCCTGACTTTGGGCCTCAAATAATTTTAAGGAAATTAACCTCAGGATACCCTGATGTAGTTTTCAATGTAGTTCTGACTACTAGTAATGTAAGCTAGGTAGATTCTTAATCTGTTAAATATTAAAAATAAAGTGTTGGAGTGCTGTGCACTGGGCATGTGACTTGTTTTTCTCATGTAAATTTAAACATGTTTGAACAAAAGCTTTAGTATGCTGAAATGAAGTGTTAATATCCTAAGGGTCAAGAGTAACATATAGAGTGATTTCTTTATGAATAGTCATGTATTGTCCTAAATTCCAACTGCAGGTAAATGGATTTAACTGAACTCTCCTCTTTTTGCTGTTTCTAGTTATATGAGGAATGTCTGTTGATTATTATACTTAAAAATATTTTTCCTATTTATTTTACACCTTACTTGTATAGATGCTACAGACAGTAAGAGCACACGTGAATTCAAAACATTTTGCAAATGATTCAAATTTTAGAATTAAATTGAATGAACAAACTATCATTGCTAATCTGTCACACTTTCATTTTCTACTTCCATTTTGGCCATGTTTCTCTGAATGAAGAATTCTTATATCATACAATACTTCACTTAATGTCTCAATTAACTTAAATCTTTTATCATAGGCCAGCATTTGATGGTAAACGCTTCCAGAGAGATGACCGGCTGGAAGAACAAAAGATTCGTGAGCGCCTCAAGGCCATGCCCATGTGGAAGAAGGAGTTGGTGGACAGGAAGAAAACTGGACCACTGGTGAGGAGACACCTTCACTAGCCTCTCAAATCTCTCAGTGTTTATTTTTTAGTTTTCTCTTATCATTGACTTTGGCTTCTTTTAAATTATCTGTATTATCAGAAATGAGATTTTTCTAATTTTTTGGCAGCCAAAAATATCATTTTTGAGATTGATGCATGATATGCACACCATATTTTCAGCCTTTCATTTTTCATCCCTGATTATCTCTGTATTAGGAATAAGAATTACTATTGATAGCTAATTGCATTGTAATTCTCTCATTTATTTTTTTGTTAGGTTGCCAAAGCAAGTGTCATGGCGTCCAACAATTCAGCCTTTACTCCAACGGCAGCAACAGTAGGTGTATTTATGAAAAAGATTTTAATATTTCAAGAAAATATCGTAGGTTAAAAATTATTAAATAAATATAAATGAAGCCTAGGTTAAATCATTTGTGTGAGAAAAGTAGCATGATGGTCAGAGTTAAAGAGAAATGAATTTAATATTTAAAGCCATCATTCACACATTTACATGGAAAATAAGGCACAAAAGATACACATAGGAATCTGGGTGGTTCTGAACTGTTAGATCAGAAATATGTCGGAAGCATTCCTAGATTTTTTTAGACATCTTAATTTGCCTTGAAAGGGTCACAGAAGGTCATCTCAGAAACTAGATTAACCTGGTAAAGTTAAATTAGTGTGCTGTGGGAGAAGGTTGAAGGGCAGAGTGTGAATGCTTCTAGTTTGGTCTGCAACCCTAGATGATATTATCATGGTAGCTATAGGTCAGAAAAGGTGGTTTCTTCTCAGGTGGGGCTATTGGCTTCAGATGCAGGTTTTTTTTCTTTTCTTTTTTTCTCTTCCTTTTACACCAGGAAATTGTTTGGAGACTGGAAAGAGCAGAAGCACTGTATCAAATTGGATTTAGTTTTATCAAAACAGAGCTGGTGTCAAGTGCTCTCCTCTTTTCGATTTTTTAAAAATCTAAAACATTTACCGTTGATTGAATTCTGGCTTACATTGTGGATTTGCTTATATCCTCATTAGTCAACACATTAAACTGTTCATATTTCCCCAGGCAGTACATTACTGTGCTTTCATCTGAAATTATCTGGCAGTTGCTGCTGCATGCAGTAACATTTAGAGTGGATGTGGACTGCAAGAGCCTCCTATTGATTTTAGCATTCTTTCTCTAAATATTGCATTTAATGAAAGAGGTTGAAGAAAGATTAACTTATTTCAGCATAAAAAACACCCATTTAATCATTAAATTGTCCATATTTACCATGGAAATTATCAGAAGAGTGAACTGTCAAATTGAAAAAAAAACAACAAAAAACAATTAGTTTTAAACAAATGAGTAGGTGACTGGAGGTCTTTGAAACGTAATATATAAATTATCGTGACTACAGTCCAAAACTAACTATTTTACTAGACTAAAATGGCATCATGGTCATAAAGTTCCAAGCCAACCTGTTGAATATAGAAGGTCATCTGGGAAATGCAAGCTTATTGCTTATAATTAGTTATTATAAGTTGGATTTTTGGCAGTTTTGCATTTGAACTTTAGGGTCCGTTCATGAAGGTTGTTAAGTAAGTGAACAAATGCAACTTTATAAAAATTACAGTACTTATAAGTGATACAGATGCAACTTTATTTATTTTTTTACAACTTTGTAAGTCCAGTATAAGAATAAACAAAAATACCATGTTATATGTGTATGCACACCCACGCACTCGCTGATGATCTTTGGAAACTTCTTGTTAAGCTAAATTGCACCCATCTCTTCTTTGCAATTACTGACTATTGATTTCAGCATTTTTCTCTGCTTTCTAGAATAGTACGAAAGATGCTCCTGCTAATTCCAAAGGCAGCAGCATCCCCCTGCCTGCCCAGTCTGAGTCTGCCTTCACCAGGCAAGTGGTCAACAGCAAACAAGGCTCACCTGGCGTCCCCAGGAAACGGGTGTCACCTAGTAATTCGGTATGTTTGTTTATTGATCAACACTTGGAATTTTTTAATCAAGTTAATTGAGATCTATCAATCAAAAAATTTTGACTTGTGTAAGATTTTGAATTGTGGTGTGTGCATATTTGAAACTTATTCTGTTTGTTATATGACATTTTTAGAAAGTATATTTATCCTTTGTTTGGCATTTGTAAGCTTTATTGAATAAATTGCTTTGTGAGCTATTTGTTTTATTTCTATGTCAGAAGAAGGTGGTAAATTAAAATGCTTACTGAGTTTTTTAGTCTCAAATCCTTATTAACAGTTTTCTCTCTCTTTATGTATTCAGTTTAAGTCCAGTGGAGGGAGACGTACCCCCTCCCCCCATAGTGTGATAGAGGGTCTGAGTCAAGAGGGTATGCGTAAGAGGGTAGAGAGGGTGAGAAAAGCCAGGTTGTACCTTCTGCAGCAGACGGGTCCAAACTCATTCCTCATTGGTGGAGACTCTCCAGAACATAAATTCAGGGTTATTATTGGGACACAGGTAATCAATTGTCTTTCTTTTAGACACTATTTTGAAATGATCAAATTTTTATTAACTTTAGCCCATACAAAATTGGTCAGATGGATTATCAGCATACTGAACTATTGTTTAACAAAGGGAGTTTCAAATTTTGATGGCCACTTGTAAGATGTTGACAAAATATCTGTTCAAATTTGATTGGTCAAATATTGCTGAGTTAAACTGAGTTATTTGGTAAAGAAAAATGGTTGAGATTTTAAATTTTGATGTCAGATTGTCGTTTCAGAGCTGAAGTGCTCTTATCATTATGTACAGACACAGATGTGTCTGTACATATTGCCATCACCTGCGTCTGTCGTCGCCGATGGCGATGCCGATGGCGATGCCGATGGCGATGGCGATGCCGGCGCCGTGCACTTTCCTTGTAAACACGATAAGTGGAGGGCAGTTTTACTTTTTGGCTTTATATTTACAGAGCTGATGAATATTCATAAAACGCAGGTCAAGTTCGAAAATCAGCATGATCGGGCCATTATTGTAGAAGTTATACTGTTTTTTCACTTTTCAGCATATTTTTCACATTNGCTGTTTCTAGTTATATGAGGAATGTCTGTTGATTATTTTACTTAAAAATATTTTTCCTATTTATTTTACACCTTACTTGTATAGATGCTACAGACAGTAAGAGCACACGTGAATTCAAAACATTTTGCAAATGATTCAAATTTTAGAATTAAATTGAATGAACAAACTATCATTGCTTATCTGTCACACTTCCATTTTCTACTTCCATTTTGGCCATGTTTCTCTGAATGAAGAATTCTTATATCATACAATACTTCACTTAATGTCTCAATTAACTTAAATCTTTTTATCATAGGCCAGCATTTGATGGTAAACGCTTCCAGAGAGATGACCGGCTGGAAGAACAAAAGATTCGTGAGCGCCTCAAGGCCATGCCCATGTGGAAAAAGGAGTTGGTGGACAGGAAGAAAACTGGACCACTGGTGAGGAGACACCTTCACTAGCCTCTCAAATCTCTCAGTGTTTATTTTTCAGTTTTCTCCTATCATTGACTTTGGCTTCTTTTAAATTATCTGTATTATCAGAAATGAGATTTTTCTAACTTTTTGGCAGCGAAAAATATCATTTTTGGGATCGATGCATGATATGCACACCATATTTTCAGACTTTCATTTTTCATCTCTGATTATCTCTGTATATTAGGAATAATAATTACTATTGATGGCTAATTGCATTGTAATTCTCTTATTTATTTTTTGTTAGGTTGCCAAAGCAAGTGTCATGGCGTCCAACAATTCAGCCTTTACTCCAACGGCAGCAACAGTAGGTGTATTTATGAAAAAGATTTTAATATTTCAAGAAAATATCGTAGGTTAAAAATTATTAAATAAATATAAATGAAGCCTTTGTTAAATCATTTGTGAGAAAAGTAGCATGATGGTCAGAGTTAAAGAGAAATGAATTTAATATTTAAAGCCATCATTCACACATTTCATGGAAAATAAGGCACAAAAGATACACATAGGAATCTGGGTGGTTCTGAACTGTTAGATCAGAAATATGTCGGAAGCATTCCCAGATTTTTTTAGACATCTTAATTTGCCTTGAAAGGGTCACAGAAGGTCATCTCAGAAACTAGATTAACCTGGTAAAGTTAAATTAGTGTGCTGTGGGAGAAGGTTGAAGGGCAGAGTGTGAATGCTTCTTGTTTGGTCTGCAACCCTAGATGATATTATCATGGTAGCTATAGGTCAGAGAAAGGTGGTTTCTTCTCAGGTGGGGCTATTGGCTTCAGATACAAGTTTTTTTCTTTTCTTTTTTTCTCTCCCTTTTACACCAGGAAATTGTTTGGAGACTGGAAAGAGCAGAAGCACTGTATCAAATTGGATTTAGTTTTATCAAAACAGAGCTGGTGTCAAGTGCTCTCCTCTTTTCGATTTTTTAAAAATCTAAAACATTTACTGTTGATTGAATTCTGGCTTACATTGTGGATTTGCTTATATCCTCATTAGTCAACACATTAAACTGTTCATATTTCCCCAGGCAGTACATTACTGTGCTTTCATCTGAAATTATCTGGCAGTTGCTGCTGCATGCAGTAGCATTTAGAGTGAATGTGGACTGCAAGAGCCTCCTATTGATTTTAGCATCCTTTCTCTAAATATTGCATTTAATGAAAGAGGTTGAAGAAAGATGAACTTATTTCAGCATAAAAAACACCCATTTAATCGTTAAATTGTCCATATTTACCATGGAAATTATCAGAAGAGTGAACTGTCAAATTGAAAAAAAAACAACAAAAAACAATTAGTTTTAAACAAATGAGTAGGTGACTGTGAGGTCTTTGAAACGTAATATATAAATTACCGTGACTACAGTCCAAAACTAACTATTTTACTAGACTAAAATGGCATCATGGTCATAAAGTTCCAAGCCAACCTGTTGAATATAGAAGGTCATCTGGGAAATGCAAGCTTATTGCTTATAATTAGTTATTATAAGTTGGATTTTTGGCAGTTTTGCATTTGAACTTTAGGGTCCGTTCATGAAGGTTGTTAAGTAAGTGAACAAATGCAACTTTATAAAAATTACAGTACTTATAAGTGATACAGATTCAACTTTATTTATTTTTTTACAACTTTGTAAGTCCAGTATAAGAATAAACAAAAATACCATGTTATATGTGGAGTATGCACACCCACGCACTCACTGATGATCTTTGGAAACTTCTTGTTAAGCTAAATTGCACCAACCTCTTCTTTGCAATTACTGACTATTGATTTCAGCATTTTTCTCTGCTTTCTAGAATAGTACGAAAGATGCTCCTGCTAATTCCAAAGGCAGCAGCATCCCCCTGCCTGCCCAGTCTGAGTCTGCCTTCACCAGACAAGTGGTCAACAGCAAACAAGGCTCACCTGGCGTCCCCAGGAAACGGGTGTCACCTAGTAATTCGGTATGTTTGTTTATTGATCAACACTTGGAATTTTTTAATCAAGTTAATTGAGATGTATCAATCAAAAAATTTTGACTTGTGTAAGATTTTGAATTGTGGTGTGTGCATATTTGAAACTTATTCTGTTTGTTATATGACATTTTTATTTATCCTTTGTTTGGCATCTGTAAGCTTTATTGAATAAATTGCTTTGTGAGCTATTTGTTTTATTTCTATGTCAGAAGAAGATGGTTAATTAAAATGCTTACTGAGTTTTTTTAGTCTCAAATCCTTATTAACAGTTTTCTCTCTCTTTATGTATTCAGTTTAAGTCCAGTGGAGGGAGACGTACCCCCTCCCCCCATAGTGTGATAGAGGGTCTGAGTCAAGAGGGTATGCGTAAGAGGGTAGAGAGGGTGAGAAAAGCCAGGTTGTACCTTCTGCAGCAGACGGGTCCAAACTCATTCCTCATTGGTGGAGACTCTCCAGAACATAAATTCAGGGTTATTATTGGGACACAGGTAATCAATTGTCTTTCTTTTAGACACTATTTTGAAATGATCAAATTTTTATTTACTTTAGCCCTTACAAAATTGGTCAGATGGATTATCAGCATACTGAACTATTGTTTAACAAAGGGAGTTTCAAATTTTGATGGCCACTTGTAAGATGTTGACAAAATATCTGTTCAAATTTGATTGGTCAAATATTGCTGAGTTAAACTATGTCTATATTTGGTAAAGAAAAATGGTTGAGATTTTAAATTTTGATGTCAGATTGTCTTTTCAGAGCTGAAGTGCTCTTATCATTTTTATGTACTATTTCTAAGGTCTGTGCCTCTAGTTATTTTTGTTATGTTTTTATTTCATATTAAAGACTTGCAGTTGTGGCAAGGGCCCACATTGCCTTCATTTGCTGTTTGTAATGCTGAGAGTATTCCAAGTGGGTGAGAATGACCCCTGTCTCTGGAGGCGGGAACTGAAGAATTATGAGGTTGGTTTGAAATACAAGCTGTTTTATTAAGTGAATGGAATACTGCTGTAGTTTATTGAAGATGAAGAAATTGTAACAAGGAAACTGCTGTGTCAAAACTTACTTGATTAGTAAGATCAGTTGACTGTTGTGAATGTAGCAACAAGTTAGATAAGTATGTTATTATTTTCCACATTGAAAGTTGTCTATTTTGTAAATTATCTTTAAAAAAAACAGTGAAGAAAAAATGGAATTCATTAATTTTCAGTCAAAACACCTTGTATAATACAGAAGAATTTGCTCCACTGTTTTTATATGTCTGCATGTTTTCTCCTCTTAAGCTATACATCATTTTTATGTTCAAAGGTGGAGACACTGTTCAGGGCCTATCTTGACAGAAGAAATCAGCGCATGAAGCAGACAACTCCTAAAAATGAACAAAAGAAGGGACAGGAAGCTGGTGGAGACTCTACTTCCCCTGATACATCCTCCACTGACAGTGAATCAAGGTATGCTTGTGACAAATGATATATAACACTTTCCTGAATATCATAAGTTCTTGTTTGAAATGGACTGCAGTGTTTTATGAAAAATTACATTGGGAGGAGGGCGAGAGATTTTGCAAATCGTAATGACATATTGTTGGGTTAAAACCAAGAGTTTGTATGTATTTGATTAAATGTTTAAGAATTTTTTACAAGAACATTGAAAGTGCATGTTATGTGCTCAAAAAGAATTTAATGCACAAGTAGAAAAATTTTGTGAGTTTGAAATGGCAAAATGAAAATATAACCTTCCAAAATATTTTCATGCTCTGTGAAATAGTTTCCATACTACATGGTTAACCAAGATCTTCATTAAGGAATTAGCAATAATACCATCATTACACAATATACAATGAAAAGCCAATTTATATGTTGTTTTAGCACCAAGGACATTGAAGAAACCTGTCCAATCTGTCTGCTGGAGATGTGTGAGGGGGAGAGTATTGTGGAGTGTGAGAAGGGATGCCACAACAAATTACATCACCACTGCATTTCTATCTGTGAGCATTTTCATATGAGTAATTCAGTGAGGTTAAGCTTTACTTTTAAAAGGATTATTGAGCTGAGATTATTATTTGGCTTGACATCTGAAATACTGATTTGGTGGAAAGTGTTTTCTTTAGGTGTAAGAAATAATATTTTGAACAAAGGTTTTGGTTAATTAATATGAATTTTCATATGACATTGCATGGGGTATAAAGGACATTAAATACATCTAAGCAGTTTAGTATTATTGAGAAATTATCAAAATATAATTTCCTCCAGGGTTTAACTTGTGTCAAAAACAAAAGGAACCCCTGATGTGTCCACTGTGTAGAGCCAAATGGAAAGTCTCCCCAGAGGAGGGTGTCACAGTGCCATCTGGTAGCCCTGCCGTCAGCCTGCCCCACCCACCCCCACCTGCTCAACCCCATGAAGAGGTTGTATTACCCCATGCAGATCCTTTGCCTCAGGAACACAGGGACATGGCAGCTCCTTGGATAGAGGTAGTGATGTCAAAACTCATAAACTTATTCAATATAATAAGCATAAAAGAGTACAATAAAAAAGAATGACCATTTTCATCATCAAAAATCAGTACCAGTTTATAGCAGGATGTATGGTCTTTAAATGAGAAACAAGGTTTTGTATGTCTTGTGCTTTTTGGCAATGGGTAAGAAAAGGAATGCTTCTAAATGCAATAGTTTGATTAGATCTAGATGTATTTTCAAACTAAGAAATATCAGAACTTGTAACCAAACATATCAAATGTTGTTGTTGCTTTTTCAGATTTTGGGTGAGGACCTCATCTCTTGCCTCTTCTCAAAGAACTGGACTGTGCGGGAGACGGGTCTGAGAAGGGTTTCTCAGGAAGCGGTGGCCGTCTTCCTGCCAGCGTCTGGGGAGGGCCGCACTGGGGCCAGGGTGTCCTCAGACAGACACGAGGCCAAAACACAGATGCTGTCTACCTGCTTCAGCATCCTGGCACTGATGTGTGGAGACCCTGTGTATAGAGTGTTTGTGGCTGCATTGGTAGGTGTATTTGGTCAGCTAAGAGATTGAAGATTTTTTGTTTGGGTCTGAGGGGGGCCAAAGTTTAAGTATGCTTGACTTGACTTCATCCCTCATGTCTTTATTGAAATATTTATTGATAAGAAACTGAAGGGGGGAGGTGTCTGATCTGTCATATGTCACAGATATGTCTTGAAGACCTCTTGCAGATTTCGGGGATAAGGAGTGTGTACCTACCTCTTTTTTAGTTTTTGAGAATTTACATTGGGTTGAACTGATAACTTTTTTGAAAAGTTTCATAAGTTTATGACCAACAAGAAAAATAAGATTTAAACAGGAAAAGATTTGAAAGTTTCAGTTTTGATTGATAAAACCTTTTCAATCAGAAAGAATACAGAGGGTGCTTATTAATGTTATCTCCTTTTTTTTTTTTTAGATACCTATACCTATGCCTCTTACAAAATACCTTCTTTTGTTACAGAAAACTTTGAGAACAGTGTTGGCATATGTACCCTGCCGAGATGACACTCAGAGGAAGGAGCTGCAGGATTTGTTGGTCCCTGTGCTGAATACAATACTGATTAAATGTGCAGATGGGAACAGGTGATTTTTTTATGACAAATTTTTTAATTTTTCGTTGTAAAACATTTGTTTGAAGACAGTGCCTCTGAAATTAATTTTCTTAAAAACTTACTGAAATTTTGATAAACAATGGGCATAAAATAATAAAGGTTTAATGATGGAGCATAGGCTTTACCCATTTTCAGGAAACTGATAGAAAAGTTTTAAAAGTTAAAACTGTTCATCACAGTTTTCTTACAATTTTCTTTTTTTTTCAGACGCACAAGCTTGCTGTCCATCTCTACCATAGTAGAACTGGGCAAAGGGCAATCTGGGGAGCTTGCCATTGGAAGAGAGATATTCAATTCAGGTAGTAGATCAGATCCACTCTTAGTGCATATTTTATCACTCATATCTTGCATTCCTTTTATATACAGTTTATTATCCTTGATTCATGTACTTAAAGTAGGATGGGGGCACTTCCTAAGGTACAGTTACAGAGAATAGTAAGGGGTTTTAATTCTACAGAGTTATCTAAATTCTGCATCCAAAATTTTTCTTTATCACATATTTTCCAGTCATATTCCTAAATAACAGCAACAATATACAAGTATCTAATACTAAAGTGAAAGCTATGCAGTAATAGATGATATACATATTTAATTCCAGGTCAGGGTGGTATTGGAGGTGTGTCGTTCATTCTGACATGTATGTTGGAGGAGTACACTCTGGAGGAGGTACAGTGGCAGTGGTTGTTGGGGCGCCTGTGTGCCTTGGACCGTCTCATGGAGGAATTCCCCCTAGAGTTCACAGTGGAGGCTGGCAGAGGAGAGCACATCTCGGACCACCCGAGACTCCATGCTGTTCTGAACTTCGTCTTCAAAGCCTTGAAACACAGTCACCAGAGGATAGCCAAGCTTGCCAGGAGGACGTTCATATTTGCAGTCAGACCCACGGCCCACATTCCAGGAATTTTCTCTGAAGTCAAGGAAATGTTGAACCACTTAGACTCCAGCTTGCACATTCGGATGCTGCGGCATCTAGCTCATATTTTCACAGAACCTGCATTGCTAGTGCCTTACCATAATATCACATATCAGAATGGCCCAGCGGTTGATTTTGAGATCCCTGGGGATATGGGAGAAGGCTCTGATACCCCAAGGTCTCTCTCCCCTGATATGCCTCTCCCATCAAGTCAGGGTTCCAGTCCAATGCCCCAGACTCCCACCGAGGATGGAGACATTAATGATGGCATTGGTGAGGATAACAGAAGACTTGATAACATGACTCCCAATAATAATGAGTTGGGTTCTGATTTACAGAATAACAATGTGCCAAATGACAATGATGTTGAGGAGCAAACTCACCAAGATGAATTCTTAGGGGAAAACGGACTTGAGGCTTCAGTACAACCAGATGAAGCAGCTGCAGGTTCAAAGAGTGCAATTGCACAAGACAATCATGTTGATGGTGATACAAGGAAGTTGGAAGAAACCACAGACAAAAGTAATGTGAATGGAGAATTGCCTGGTAATGCAGAGAACCATGTTTCTGGTACAAAAACTGCCAAAGATGCCAACAGGAATCTTAAGCAAGCAAATCCAGTCTTATTGACTCCACCCAACACTCCATTGCAGCAATCACTGGACAAGGAGGAGGTATCTCTTTCTGCAAAGAAGGTTCCACAATCAGAGTCTACCTCGTCACCTTTGGCTGGGGCTCAGCCAAAAGATTGGGGAGATATTACAACAAAGCAACTGGAATGTGACTGTATAGAGCCCCCACAGCCACATGGGATCCACATGCATCATAAATCACAGGGTAATAGGGACCAAGAGGAGATACAGCCTTCACTGCCATCTTGTGGTGAAAATGCACATCACAAAGCACAGGGATATGGAAACTGTGATGACAGACAGGACGAGGCACAGGCAGCACCACTGAACTGTAACTGTCTTATAAAACCTTGTCCCTGTGAGGATAAATTTCGGTTGCCACAGGAGCCATGTTCACCCAAGAAAACTTACTTGTGTTCTGCTTGCAGAAGGTATTCCATTTTATCAACAGAGGACTCCACTGAGTTGACACTGTCTCCAGCAGGACTGGATGAGAAGCCGGTGTCTTTCAAGACTGAAGTGGCATCCTCGCCCAGGGTGTCGCCGGACGCAAGCCAGGATGATGGTTTGTGATGTTCACATTGTTACTCTTATTGTTTTCCCTTAGAAATTTGATGGATGTGGAATGAAATTTTAGAAATTATTTATTGTTTTATAAATTCTTTTTAATTTAATGCATTTGTTGTACATTCATTCCTTCATTCCTTCATTCATGATTTGTTCTATCAGTGTAGACCTGAGGGTACCCAGGTATTAGCGTAGCACTACTGCATATTATGCATACTTTTGTATTACAAGTATTACTCCTCTTGTTAAATCTTGCTAATTATTACTGTCCAGGTGCCTCGTCTGATCCCTGTTACTGTAAGGAGGAGGTGGAGATCGAGGAGGCCCAGGCCCTGGCAGCTGCCATGGAGGCTTCCACTAAACAGGAAGATTTACCTATCATTCCACAGCTGGGCAGCAGGGAGAAAGACGAGATTACCATCCATATTCAGGATGAGGTGAGAGCAAATTAATGAAAGTTGTATGTATGTATTTATTTGTTGGTTTTGGTAGAAGAGAATATAGTGTGTTGGAGGAAAGAGTCCTTGAGTTTGATGATGGAACAACATATATTTTGTGTCAATAGACTAATAGGTCAAATATTTATATTATAACAATTGTTTTGCCTATCTAACTTATTCCAGAGAATTTTAAGGGTCCCAATGCATCAAACCAATATTTCAAATATTACAAAACTTTAATTTAAAGCATCATGGTTTCAACATGTTAGAAACAGAGATGATAAAACAGACACCACACATTTCCATATTACAGGGAGGTGGAGAAAATGATGAGCCACAGCCCAAGGCCTACTTGGATGGCATACACTGGCAGCGCGGCCCTCTGATTGGCACTGGGGCCTACAGTACCTGCTATCAGGCCAGGGACGTCAAGACTGGGACCATCATGGCAGTAAAACAGGTCAGTCATTTGTGAATAACTTGAAATTAGGTCTTTTGGTAGATTTTGTGCATCTTTGATATTTCTGAGGGCATGAATTACTTATTAGTCAAACTAATTACAAGCCTCATAAATATATGCAGTTCAGTATGACAAGCTGGAAATAGAAATCAGTCATGGTGATCCTTTCATATTTATCTATTTTTTTTCAAGTGAAGAGTGTTACCCCATTCAGATTTTTTTGTTTCATGCAATTCTGAATGATTTTAATCCTCAGAGAAGGGCAATCTGTGGTTACTGGAAGGACTAGAATCTGACCATTTACTACTTGGTGTAAACCTGTAAAGTTATTGCAAACTGCATGTTTTCTATTTATTTCCTCTCCAGATCTCGTTCTGTAGAAACACAGCTGTAGAGCAAGCTCAGGTGGTTGAGGCAATAGAAGATGAGATTCGAATGATGGCCAAGCTGAACCATGTTAATGTAGTCAGAATACTTGGGGCCACCAGACAGGGTTGCCATTTTAACATGTTTGTGGAGTGGATGCCAGGTGAGCTATTGGCAAAAATTAGAACTTCTCTCATTTTGGCAGATTGATGGCTATAGAAAATCACTGTATTTTGGTGGAATTATTGAAAAAGTTTTGTCCCATCTCTAAATTATTTTATGCTTTATGCTAAATTATTCTGAATGTACATGTTTTTAAAAATATGCTGAAAATTTTGAATAAACCAGAAATTGTGGTTCTGATGATATTCCATTTTCTTCCTTTTGCATGGTTCTACTTCAGAGGTGTTTTGTATGAATCTTTTTGTGCAGTGAGATGGATTTTATGAGATGTGAGAAGTCCAAAGCAGCAATGTGCCCATTTTTTCACAGTTTCCACCTCAATTATGCTAAGTTGTACTTTGCTCACCAGGTGGCGCTGTGGCCTGTCTCCTGGCCACTTATGGACCATTCAGTGAAGTAGTGATCACCAGTTACACTCAGCAAGTGCTCAGGGGGCTGGCATACCTGCATGATAACCAGATATTACACAGGGACATGAAAGGTAGGGCAGCCATCAGTATTTATAAGACCTGTACATACTTTTTATCATTGGCAGATTTGGAGGGGTGGGAGTGGGGGATATTTTAAAAGTTACTTTATTGAAACAATTTTCTTTTCAATTTCTAAAATCTTACAAGTAATGCACAAGCCTCCTGCTCCGGTTACCATTCTGACTGGCTCCAGCATTGTCAACAGACACAGTGTATTGTAATATGTGAAGACACTGTGCATATTCATCATGATGTATTTCTTTGATGAGATTTACTTGTTAAACACTTCAGGAGCCAACATCCTGGTAGACAGTACAGGGAAGCGTGTGAGGATAGCAGACTTTGGTGCTAGTGCCAGGCTGGCTACAAGGTCCACAGGAGCAGGAGAGTTCCAGGGACAGCTACTGGGCACCATTGCTTTCATGGCTCCAGAGGTAGGGTGTGATGCAAAGGTTGTAGTTGTAGAGCCAGTCAAATTGATGTTGTATGGATAATATTTCATTAATTTTTAAAGTTTCTAGGCACTGTTTTTGCCTTGGACCAGTAGATTCCTAGTCTTTGATTGGCCAGTAGTCTTAAAAGTAGCATTAGAAGTGAAAAGGCTTGTGTTTACAGTTATAGTAAAGGTGATGATGATTTTGGTCGTGGTGGTGATATTTGGGACAGAAGTCTAATGTGGCTGATCCTCACAACTCTGGCATCAAAGAGGAGAAATGTGGCAGTAAATGTGAAATAAACCAATTCTAATATATACACATTACTCACCCTATGTATATAAATATTTCAGGTGTTACGTGGTGAAAGCTATGGCCGGAGCTGTGATGTCTGGAGTGTGGGCTGCTGCATGGTAGAAATGTGCACTGGCCAGCCACCCTGGGGATCCAAGGCTGTGTCTAACCATCTGGCTCTCATATTTAAGGTCAGCAATGTTGAATGAAATACTCCAACTTAACAGTCCCATTAACAATATCTGCAGTGAAGCAACAAGTAATAAGAGGACTTTTTATGCCAGTTATGTGCATGTGTCCTGCAGGAACTCGAAGTGGGAAGGAAAAAGTCAGCATTGGCATTATAGATTGAGGTTTATCCAAATCCAAATTCTTGACAAACCTCATTCTAACTATGCCAGTCTTACTTTACTGCCACATGCAGAAGTCCTTTGGCATTGCATGTTTTATTCAACTTTGTATAAAGTGCAATTTTATTCCTAGCTCCAAACCAAAGTTGTTATTTTATATTGAATCTAGACTGGATAAAATTACCCAGCTGCTCTGGAGTAGGTTTGTCAATTAAACAAACAAACATACAAACAATAAAATAATTGAAATTCAAATTGATGTTTTAAAAGGAAATTCAACCGTACCAAAATAGGATTTTTGTTGAACTGTTATAATGACCTAAGCTGTTGATTTTATTTCAGATTGCAACATCGACAGAACCCCCACCCATTCCAGAAAACCTTTCGCCCGGAGTGCGAGATCTCATGCTACGCTGTCTTGAACAAAAATCAGAGGACAGACCATCGGCCAAAGAACTTCTGCAACATCCCCTTTTCATCCACTATCACAACTTCAAAAGTTCTGTTCCAAGGATGTAAAGCTTTCCAATCCAAATATGTGAACAGTCGGCTACATCATTCCATGAAACTAAATGTCTTTAATCAAATTTATGAGTATTTGTAGTCTGACAGATGAAGAAAATGAAATATTTTCATGACATGATTTTTTAAATTGTTCCTTTTTAATGGAACAGGTCACAAGAAAATATTTATAATTAAAATGATCATCTTGATGATGATAGAGTGAAAGTAATTTTTAAAACTTGTTGCACAAGGTATCTTATGGTATAATTTGACTGCTGTGGTCAATTTTTGTTCCTTTTTTTAAACATTTTTCCAAAAATTTAGAATATTTTAGTAGTGATTGAGAAGTTTTAGTGATTATTATTACTATTTATCCCATCAAAAAGAAAATTTTAATGTTAGAACTTACAAGTCACAAGAACATTGTTTTTTTTCTTTTGGTTTTATTGACTATCATTTTGTATTGTATACTTTCTCTGTTGGAGAGGGTTATATTGAACCAGTGGCATCAGGTAATATTATTACCTATTACTTAAATGTTTGATTGGCATCAGTCATTTTAACAGACATTTTGTTTGTACATTTAAGGATTATTGTCCATTACCTTTTTCTTTTTCATTGAAGTCGCAAAATAACGTGAACCCTTTCCTCTTAAATTATTCAGATATTCTGCAGAAATATTGTATTTAGTTGTACAGGTGTTGTTATAATAATTATAATGCTGGCGAGCTGTATGGATACATTACTTTTTCAAAAAAAGTGCCTTGTTCATTATTTGATATCCTTTAAATTTATTCAAGAGTTAAAGTGAAATCTGGCGCCAAAATTTACTGTCATTTACAAATCTGTGTTCATCTGCATTCTTAAATCAGAAAACTGAAAATACTTCATAAGTAATGAGCTTTGAACATAAACCACAGACTTGAGTTAAAGGAAATAAAATACATATTTAAGTTCACTCATGTACAGGGTAGATGTGCCAGTAAGTCTATCGATAATTGTATACTGAAATATTCAACTTCATTTAGCATAATAAGCAAAATGAGCGAGAAACATACAGTATAAATTGCATTTAATTAAAATGATATTCAACCAGTTTGTATTATCAGAATATTTTTCTATGGTAGCTAGTTCAACTGAACCCTTATGTATGAAGTAAGATGTATAGTATGGCAATAAAAATAGGCCAAAGTTGGAACACAGGTCAAACACATAATAAAATTATTAATTGAAAGTGATGTGTTCACTTATTAATATCGTTTTGAATTTATAATTACATTCACAAAATAAATAAATAAATAAATAAATAAACACTTGCAGTCAATTGAAATATTGTTTATTTATGGAACCTACATGTATATATATAGGACATTGTACACATTGTGTAATGATAAAAAGTAGAGTTAAAATAAGAACCTTCTAATTTATTTACCAGGTGCTATTAATTAAGCTAGACGTTTTACACCAACATGGTATTTAAATATGTAGTAAAAACGAGTTACAAACAACAGGCTTTAATATTTAAACATAAATACTAAAACATCTTAAACGGAGGTAAACTTCACTGACCAAGAGGATAACATAGCAAAGATGTTAATGGGTCTGGTTCTCTACAACTAAGACATACTAAGATCATGTTAAAAACTAACCTAAAACACTACAACAAGTCACAAACACATTGCTTAGCAAAAAATGGGGGGATTTTTTTCTCAGATGCAAAGTAATGAATTATACATCAAATGGAAAACCCAATCCTTCTCACTTAGACCGATTTCCAACATTATCAAGAGTTCATTGTTCGAAACAAAGCGGTGCCAAATTTTACCTTCCAAAGAATGTCCTACAGTTTACAAGAATTGTTCAAGTGTAAATATGAAATGCCAGCAGAGGATCACTTGTTGGTCTTTTCAAAGTAAGTCTGGCTTCCTTTAGGATCTGGCTTCATGGTGTCTGCACCTGGTCTCCAACCAGCAGGGCACACTGATATGAATTACAACAGGTTAAAATTGCATTTAAATATTGTGTAAAAATAAAATACATATAAATTTTAAAAACTTCGAAATAATAATAATTTAAGGCTTTTTTCTTTTTGTAATCTTATGAAGTTTCAGATATTATACAAATAAGGGGCATTTTGGGAAATTATGAACTGAGGTCTGGCTGACACAATCTGATACCAATTAATAAGTGTCACCTTCATAAGGGGCTATTTTATACTATAAATTTAACAGCCAAAAGTAATTTTACTTGAAAAGAAACTGTTGAACATGAAAAGTAGAAAGCATGAAGTTGCTACATGAAAAATAAATATTGAAATATTACCTTCTCCATGCTTGTCTGTGAACTGGAAAGCCTGAACAAGCCTGAGTGTCTCATCCACTGAACGTCCAACAGGGAGGTCATTGACTGTGACTTGACGCAATATTCCTTGACCATCGATTATAAATAGACCCCTAGATTCAGAAACAAAAATGTGTAAGGAATGCACATCACTGCTTTCAGGTCTTTCAATATGCGTACAATATATGCACCCATGCATTCTCTCCTTAAGCACACATTTTTATACATGCTTGCCTCTGAACACTAGCAGCATGCACCTTATTGAAACAAACAGAACCAATCATGTGTGCTATTTCACATGAAATTTTATGTAACCATAAAATTAGGCAGATTGGAAGCCTGTTTGTGATTGGTACAATAAACTTCAATAATTCTAGTCTAGCTGTAGAGGGTATACTACACTCATCTTATAATCCCTCCCACTATATTATTTTCTCAGAAATATTATTTTCTCAGAAAAAACTGTTAAACACCAAATCTTTAACTGCATGGTTGGGTTGAGCAATGACTCTTGAATAATATGAAATTGCTTTTCTCTCCATGAAAATTAAGACTTGCCACCAAAATCCCAATCAGGATACCTTTTACTGTTGCAGTCCAATAAATGTGCACATATGAAGATAACAAAAATGAAAAAGCTGGCACAAAACTGATCACAAGCTCAGTATAATGTTCTTCCAGAGCACAAATAACATAGCCACAGGTGAAAGTGTATGACTGGTTCATTAATTGGTGGGAAAGTTCACACTATGATGATAAAGTCACTCAAAGAAATTGCTAGTTCATACCTGAAGGTTACACCATCCTCTTCTTTAAGAACACCATAAGCTTTGGCAATTTCCATGGTCTTGTCTGCTAGCAGTGGGATTTTCATCTGACCAAGTCCACCCTTTTTCCTGGGGGTGTTGACCCTGTTAATTAGAAGATGTTATTATGCTTATTATATCATGATTATGCTTATTATCAGGATGTGGTAATACCTTATATAGGCTGTACAATTCTAAGTGGGGATATACTCATATATAAATAGGATTTTCTAGATCTTACTACAAAATTAAACTGACCTATTCAAAGTAAAACATTGTCTCCAATATAAAATCTCTTATCAAAAGATCAGGTCATGTGGTCACGATATGATAAATAATCAAAAGTTAAGTCATGTTGCATTTTATAAAATAATATATAAGTAATTACAATAATGACATTATTGTTTTCATGCTGTATTTTTTGGATTTTTTGAAAATGTTTCCCTTAAAAATATTTGTAAAACAGAACTTAATTTTTCAAAGTGTATACTTGCCACATGCCAGAATATTGTTGACACAATTTTAAAAAAGTAATGTAAGGCTCCCATTAAAGCACTGGATAATATCCGTGTTGAGTGGAATGATATCTAAGTTCAACAGTGTTGGGGCATGGGGCATAGAATATCTGTATGTTAAATACCAGGTAACCTGTAACATTAGCTATTTTGTTGACATTCAATTTTTTTCAATTTGTTCCCAGCATAAATGTCACTGAGCTGGGGAGGGGATTTTGAAAGAAATTATTGACATCAGAACAGTTTACACAACAATCTGTGACTTCTAATACATCACTGCTTGAATACCAACACCTGAGGCTTCAAATCCTGTTTTGTCAGATTTCTTGTCTAAATGTCAATCACATAAAAAAAGTAATGGATGGACAACATCTTAGAAATGTCCTATTTCTTAAAAACATGCACTTTGTAATGTGATTTATTGAATGTTTAATATATATTTTTAACTTTTACATTATATCATTTTTTTTTTGCTGGAAATCACTTCTAATTCCAACTTATCACACTGTCCATGTAGTCCTACTCAGAATCCTATCAGCTCAAGTGAACATCTTGGGTTTGCAGAGAAGGTTAATACCAGAGTTCTTCCCAAACTACTGATCCATTTTAGCTAGATGAAGAAGGGGGCAGCCCCCTCCAAACCTTTTACTGTTAATTGATCAAACCTGTATATAATTTGCATCGCTTTGCCCTTTTATATAATATGTGTGGGAATAAAACCACCAAGCCACTAGGCAGCATAGACACAACCCCTGACATAAACTTTTGTGACCTGATTGTTGGAGCCCTGACCTTGTCCAATGTCAAACACCTTGTGGAAATGCTAACCACCAAAGAGGTACCTGCTATTTTCCCAAATTGTTTTATGCCTAAAGAGAAAATGCTTAGTAAAAAAAAAAGATCTATCCTATTCAAGTCAAAGGTGACCCTGAACATACCAAATGGGGAAAAAATGCTTTAAAAAATCCATTCAATGGTTGAAGATCAAGACAGAACATGCCATTGCATAAACAAACACGTAAAAACAGTTATCTTGAACAACCCAAAGATTTGTCTCCTTTAAGTACTTACCAGGCAAGATGACTAAAATGGCTATCTGTAGAGCAAGCGACTACCTCACAGCCAATTGATCGAAACTCTTCTGAACGATCGCTGAAGGCAATGATTTCTGTTGGACACACAAATGTGCTAAAAAAAAATGAAAGAATCACAATTAAAAGAATCACAATTACACTTTGAAATCTAGATCCACATTCAGTGTTAATGCTGTTTTCTTTTTATTTCATCTTTGATAATTTTGTCACATAAAATCAAATGGGTAATTTTCCCCAACAAATGACACATCTGCTTTTTTTNACACACAAATGTGCTAAAAAAAAATGAAAGAATCACAATTAAAAGAATCACAATTACACTTTGAAATCTAGATCCACATTCAGTGTTAATGCTGTTTTCTTTTTATTTCATCTTTGATAATTTTGTCACATAAAATCAAATGGGTAATTTTCCTCCACAAATGACACATCTGCTTTTTTTATTATCCTACACTGATGTGATTTACCTGCATTATGGAAAAAATATACAGGCAGACAAATAAAAGAGCCATCTCATCAAGGCATGGAAGGCTGCTCAGTTTCATAAGGTAATCTTCAACAGGAGGATGTTACATACACCAAGCAAACAATTTATTCTCACATCTCCTCAGATATATATTCAATATTATTAATTAATAATATCACTTCTAAGTCATGACATCCTGTCCAGTTTGTATCATATGAAGAAACATTATGAAGATAATGTCCATACGGGGGCATTGAGAACTGAATGATAATCAGATTGGTAAACCTTCTTCTAGGTTATCAAACTGCCTGTCATGATTAGACTCAATTCCTGGAAGATCCATTATTAGACCAAAAGGACAGGAAATGAATGGACCACTTAATTCTGTAGATCTCAATACAAAGAGAAAGAATCTGTATGGACAAAGAATCTGTAGAATCTGAACAAATTAAAGAAAACACTTTTTCTAGCCAAATGGTAACATTACAGAGGTTGAACTGGTAATGTTACAGAGGTTGAACAAAAGTCTGGAAAATGTATCTATTTAATCACTCATTGGTTCCTATCTAAAATCAATTTCTAATGAATACAGAAAATATCTAAGACTTGTTCTACTTTTTATCATACTCTAATCACAACAATTCACACATAAATTCACAGACTTACAAATCCAGGGGATAGAAAAAGAAGACTAGGTATTTTCCTCTGTAGTCATCCAGCTTCACGGTCTTGAAGTCTCCATCGATCACAGCCGTACCAGAGAAGTTTGGTGCTGGCTTGCCGATCCTCAGTCCTTCTTTGGTTGACGTCATATTGGCACTTTGGCTGGAACTTGGTGTCCTCTAAAAGACAGAAATCAATTATGACAATTACA